AACTGGCTGGTCCTTGCAGAAAGGTGTAGACCTCTGTGATGTGCATGCAGTGCACTGGGGGATTACTGTAACTGGCTGGTCCTTGCAGAAAGGTGCGGACCTCTGTGATGTGCAGTGCACTGGGGGATTACTGTAACTGGTTGGTCCTTGCAGCAAGGTGCGGACCTCTGTGATGTACAGTGCACTGGGGGATTACTGTAACTGGCTGGTCCTTGCAGAAAGGTGTGGACCTCTGCCAGCATTTTTGACTTCCAGATTCCAGGTGTCTCTGTCAGCAGAGTCACTGCTGCATACTAACTGCCGAGGAGAGCGATGGATGCTTGCCAGTGACCTCTGAGGGTTGGGGGAGGAGGGGTTAGGAAAGCCCATGGCTGTTGCTAGCAATTCTAGGCAGGACCTGGGTTTACAGTTTGCTTTGTTTGCCTGGAAAGAGTGTGAGAGAGGAATTCTTTGGAAGCTTTGGGCATTGTGTGGTCACCTGGTACAAGAGTCGGGGGCCACAGCTAGCAGGCTCCAGGGAAAAGGGCAGAGGAAAGCTGGCTCCACGTGCCCTTCTGAAGGCCAAATGTATGTGTGTTTCAGGTCACAGCCTCTATGAACAGTGGGACAGGTGGGACCTTGACATCAATCTCACCAAAGCAGTCTCTGTGTGATGGACAATGGCACTTAGTAACAGGTATGGCATTGGTAACCTTTGGCACATACAGGGAAATCCTTTGACCTGTGTTTGAACATCTCGAAGGCAGTCAGTCCATCCACTGGAAGGTGTAGACTGGACCAGATACCATAGCCAGCCCTCATCACCAGTTTCCTTATCTCTTTCCAGCCCCAACTGTGCACAGATTATCTTATGGCTGTTGCCTCTACTTCCCCATAATGTGCTAAGTTTGGGGTGTGGAAACTTCGGGTGGAGATTTTCTTCAGCCCAGCCCTGCCCAGAAAACGGATAGGCTATTTTAGTGTTTAAGGTGCCAATAACATTGTGGTTTGGGTTTCGGCTCTGAACTCTTGGGAATAAAAAAAACAACAACAACTTTCTGGGGATAGAGATATGACTCAGTGGGTAAGAGCACTTCTTCTATTCTGGAGGACCTGAGTGTGGTGCCCAGACCCACACCGGGTGGGTCACAGTCACCTGCATCTCTAGAGCCTGGGGATTCATGCCCTTTCCTGGCTTCTCAGGCACTGCACTCACAGACATATATTCACACAGACACACGAGTGTACACACACACACACACACTTTCAAAAAGAGAAACCACTTATTATGGGCAGGTTACTTACAGCATCTGATCTTTAGTGAGCATTCAGTAAAAATCCAGTTTTATTGCTGGATTTTTAAGGATCATTGTTACTTTCAAATTATTTTATTATTTCGAATTAAATTATTCAAAATTAATCCAAAGTATTCAAATAAAACAATGGTGGAAAGTGAACACACCCTCTCAGAATCTGTTATTTTAGTAACAACTTGTGGTGTTATCTTAGAGATATATGAGCCTGAAGCCGGGGGTGTAGCCAGTTGGTAGAATATTTACCTTGTGTGCATAAATCCCTGAGTCCCATCCCCTAAACCATGCATGGCAGTGCACACCTGTGACCCAGCACTGGGAAAGAGAAAGAGGGTTAGGGTTAGGGGTCAGAGGTACAAGGTCATCTTGAGATGCATAGTAAGTTTGAGGCCAGTATGAGACCCCATAAACAAGCAAGTAAATAATAAACATGATTTTTATCTCATGTTGGCCTTTTGGCTAAGATCAAGCATAGAAATACCTGAGCCTGGACTGGCTAAAACACCTTTTTGTAAAAAGTCCTTTCTTGGCTAATTTGAAAGCTGTCTTTCTGTTAGATACAATTTTCAAGCTAGGAAACTTTTTGTGTTAAGGGTCAAAGTTTGTACAGACTGACCCTGGCTTCTGAGAAAGCAGCTGAGGTCAAATCACGTGCACATGGCCTCTGGAGACAGACCAGAGCTTGGGTTTCATCTGTTTAGAGCAACCTCTGCTCAGCCCTCCGTGAGTCCCTTAGTGAGTAGTAACGATGTGGCCTTTGCAGACTCACTGTGTGCAGGTGATGTGTGTGCACACCTGTGGAGGCCAGAGGCCAACGCTGGCTTTCATTCCTCAGGTGCTAACCACCTTGGTTTTTGAGACATGATCTTATTGGCCTGGAGCTTGCTAAGTAGTCTTGGCTGGCTGCTGAGTGAGCCCCAGGGACCGGCCTGACTGCCTCTCTGGCACTGGGATTGCAAAAGCACAACCTCGCTCAGCACTTTTTGTTTTTAGGTAAAGTCTGAGTGCTTGACTCGGGTCTTGCGCTTGCAAGGCAGGCGCTTTACCAACGTGGCTATCTCCTCGACCCACAGGTTCGGTTTAGGGATTAAATTAGGAATATCTGTAGGACACCAAACCCTGACTGCCTCTGAGTGGTGTGTTGAACTCCTACCCAAGGCTGACCAAGTGCCTTCACACAGTTCCAAGGGTCCAGTGGGAACGAGTTCAAAGCCAGCGGTGACACAGGGGTGCAGACATTAGACAGTGGGCTGGCTCTCCTCGGGCCAGACCCGACCAGCTTCCTTTCTTCCAGTCTCTGTCAAACAGCACATCCTGCACCTGGAACTGGACACAGACAGTAGCCACACTGCCGGACAGCTGTCCTTCCCCCCCAACAACACCCAAGGGTCACTGCACGTCGGAGGCGTCCCAGGTCAGTAACCCTAGTCCCAACTTCTACACCCCTGTTGAACCCAAGCGGCTCTTGACATTTTCTTCTTAACCCAACAGTTAAGGTGCTCCCATAATTGCATAAAGAGAAGGGCAGCCCTCGTGCACAGTGGAGGTGGCAAGGTCCTTTACCTTGGCATCTGGTACATCTCAGGATAGTGGAGGCCACATGACTACCGCTTCCCTGGTTCCAAACCTGTCATCTATAATCCTCCCTTAATAAGGCTCCATTAAGCTGGGCAGTGGTGGCGCACACCTTTAATCCCAGCACTTGGGAGGCAAAGCCAGGCAGATCTCTGTGAGTTTGAGGCCAAGCTGGTCTACAGAGAGATCCAGAACAGGCACCAAAACTACACAGAGAAACCCTGTCTCGAAAAACAACAACAACCAAAAAAAAAAAAAAAAAAAAAAAAAAAAAAAAAAAAAGAGGCTCCATTAACTCAGAAGCTTATGTCAGCAAATAAACAAGAAAGTTGATGAGAAACAATGGTCTCTCTTCCCCTGGGAGAACTGGGCAGGTTGAGTTCTAAGACTGAAATGTTGCCTGGAAAGGGGCTTTTTCATCCTTTCTTGTTTTATGTCCCTTCAGGTAGTCTGCTTACTAATTTTATAGTGCTTTTATAACCCATAAAAGGTAGCAGAGTTGAGAGTTATTATCTATTGATTCGGGCTGTGGAATTTCCTCCTCTGAAGGCAAACAACAGCTTTGTTGCTGATGTATCACCGTAGGCAGGAAGTCAGGAAGCTGCCAGGTGGGCGGAGCCATGGGGTCTCTGACTCTTTCTAATACTCCTCCCAACACCTTAGGTGCATTCATTTCATGGTGTGAGCTGTCTATTGAGTGTCTCTTCCTTTCCTCTTTCAGACAAACTGAAAATGCTTACTCTCCCTGTGTGGAACTCATTTTTTGGCTGTCTGAAGAATATTCAAGTCAACCACACCCCTGTCCCCATCACTGAGGCTGCGGAAGTTCACGGATCCGTCAGCCTGAATGGTTGCCCTGACCACTAACCCTACACAGCAAGAAAATTCACCTTTGAAGGCACCAAGAACCCAGCGGATCTCCCTCCCCATAAAGTCAAGACACCATAGCACACATTTAAAAACCAATCTCATGTTTAATTTCAAGTACACAGACCCATCATTTTGCCGTTCAGTGCTACACATGTATTTTATATAAAAGCCCATTTCTTGAAGAAAATGAACAAATTGTTATTCAAACATTCACACAATGCTTTTGTTAATATTTTTTCCACTAAGAATTAAATGCCTTTTAGAGAACATTTTTTCCAGTTGCTAAAAAGAAAATTTTGTTTAGAGCACTTTATGAATATAAAACTTTAAAATGTTAAATTGCTACAGTTCATGGGATTAAATAAATGCAATGCACTCTTCAAATGATGTTTTACAAGCAAGGAAAACCAAGGGCTGATGATCACTGCTAATTATATTAACTCCTCAGCACCTGCTCAAAGTGTTATCTGCAACACAATTTCCTACAGATAATTATTGAGCACATGCTAAGAGGTTATCTGTGTGCTCAGTGTGTGAACTACACTGACGTTTAATAAGTCAGTGTGTGAACTACACTGACATTTGGTAAGTCAGTCCAGCCCTTAAGGAGCACGCACTTCAATTGAGAGACATACAATACCATACTATAGGAACCAGCATATTGAACCACTGAAACCATTAATTAATGAGGCTCACTGGCTTCCCAATCCTTGCCTTCCCCAATCTGCTACCAAATCTAAATTATGATTATTGATTTGTTGAGAACACAAGCCATCTGGTAGAGGTGCTAAGATGAACATATGCGCTATAACTGAAGCTTTGTGTATCTTTGTGCACGTATGTGGAGGCCAGAGCCCAACACTTTCCTCAATCCCTTTCCTCCTCATTTTTTGAGACAAGGTCTTTTGCTGAACCCAGAGCTCAACATTTTGACTGGGCTTGAATACCCAGCAAGTCTCTCCAGGATCCTTCCATCTCGCCCACAGTGCTAGGGTTACAGACATGTGCCTAGCTTTTAGCCAGCTGCTGGGGATCCGAACTCAGATCCTCATGCGTATCTACCAAGCTGTCTAGACCACTTGATGACTGAAGCTTTTATGGCAAGTCACCAGGACCCAACTAGGAGAAATCACTTTTAGATTTATCTACAAAATAATTCATGACACAATAGACAAGCATTACTACCCACTTGTGCTAACAAAGACTATGCAAGTATTTTTGTATCTTTTACTCTTAGATAGGGGAAAAAGGGAATATTGCGTATAGTAAGAAAATGGGGTTTAATAAGAAAATTGGGTATAGTAATCCTCTATGGTATCCTTAGAGCTCTGTGTTCTCCACTTCTGAGTTGCTAGTTCTTCCATGGTCTTTGCAACACAGTCCTCTGAGCATGCTTTCCACCAGCTCCAGCTGTACACATCTGGAGTGTTCTGCAGAGGCAGCCGATTCCTTACCCCAGCAGGTGCTCATGAGAGCTGACTGGTAATCTTTAGGGATGCTGCTTGACTGCAAGTCAGGTGCTTCAAAATACATTGATTTTAAGATTTAAAAAAAAAAAAAAAAACAGTGGTGGTCTTGGCATCTGCTGGAAGCTCCTCCATGCTTCCAGCCATCAGCAGGTCTTCACAATATGAATGATCGCTCTCAGTTCTCACTGTTACACAGACTGGATCTGCAAGGTCATGACTCAGTAGAACTTCATACTTGTAAGTAGTATGTAAATTCATAACGGGACAGCTACTTCTTTTTAAATATTTCCCTAGTTTTATGTATATCTGTGTTTTTTCCTGTATGTATGTCTGTGCACCGTGTATACACAGTGCCTCCTGATGCCAGAAAAATGTGTCAGGTCCCTTGGAACTGGAGTTATATTACAGATGGCTGTGAGCTACCATGTGGGCACTGGGAATCAAACCCATGTCCTCTGGAAGAGCAACAAGTGCTCTTAATAACTGAACCAGCTCTCCAGCCCTGACAGTTCTGTGTTGACTAATCTCAGTGATTCCTTTCTCCATTCTGTAATAACAACATGGAGAACAACCACCCATCTGGGTTTGCTGAATAAATCCCAGCTGCCAATATTCAGCAGAGAGTCCCAGGTGAATTCAGCCATGGGAACGTCAGTGTGGCCATCCTCCAGTTAGAAATGTATGTTCGCTGAAATGAATGTTTCTGTGTCTTCAGTGAAGCCAGCATGGGAGCTATCTGTCAACTATAAAGCACAAAACAGGGACATCAGGTCAACTCTGACTGCGTCAGCACAAGGCCACCACTGGTTCCTGCTAGCGTCCACCAAAGGTCCATATGTTTGGTCCTCCAGGTCAGGCATTGGGGGGTGCTGTGAACTTTTAGGAAGTGGAGCTGAGAGATCCTTAGGTCATTGGGAGATATGCTTAGAAAGGGATCCTGGGACTCTACCCATCCTCTCTCTGCTTCTTGCCTCAAGATGTGGCCGCCTGTTCCACCTGGCACAGCCTCCTGCTACTGCAATGCCCATGTCTCAAGACCCCCAAACAAGACCACCGCAGAACCGATATTCCATGCAAGCACAAAGAGGTTTATTAATAGCAAAGCAAGCCCGGGCTTGGTCCGTGTCCAACATCTGACACCGTGGTGGATAAGGACGGCCCTGAGCTCTTAGAGTGAGGGGTTTTCAAAGGGAAAAACCACAAACAAGCCTTTGAATCATATGATTGGGTGAGGGTGTGTAACCTTTGAATTCACTAGTTGGGGGTTACAGTTATCATTTTTGGCAGGCATGGACAAGTCCCAGGCTCTGTCCTTGAGTGCCATGGAGGCTGGCTGGCCTCACACGTTCACATTGACCCAGGCATGTAGCTCCAAGTTGGTAAGGGGTCCCAGACAGTAAACAACTGGCTGAACCTTGAGCAAGTCAGAGTACGTGCAGAAAGGGAGCTACTGCAAGGACTATGTCTTTGTTCACGACCCTCCTAGAAACTGCTTGCTCAAGTCTCAGGAACTGAAATTGAGGCCTGATCTCTGAGAGAAGACTGAGCAGCCTGTTATGGCGTCTGCTTGGTCCTTTCACTACAACGTGCTACCAAAGCTCAGCTGAGGAACTTCATGCCCCAGAACTCCAAAACTGTGAGGTAAATGGACTTTTCTTTATGAAGTTTGTTACCTCAGTATTTTGTGATAATTCAAACTTGATGAAACAGTCCCATGTGGGGCTTGGAAACAGCCTATCTTTGGAAGCAAAAACATCAAATATTTAGAGAGCAACCATATGCCTTCATGAGCCTGCTCCTTTCAGGAATCCTCAGGGAACCTGTTGACCTCACGCCTCAATATGTAAAGACACTAAGATTTGCCGTGCTCTCTGTAGCTCCATTTCAGAAGAAAACGGCACAGGACAGAACACAACAACTTTCCCTCCTAGACAGGAAGTGGCCTCACCCACGACAGGAAGTGGCCTCACCCACAGAGATCGCTGGCTCAGCACCCTTCCCCGCTGTTTCCCCTTCCACCCCCAGTGTGTCAGGCTGGAAAACACCAACACCCACCTCCTGCCCCATCAACCACAGCCTCTTCCGGTTCCCAAGTTCTTGGTCCTGGTTTGCTTTCCATTGCTGTGATGAAACACTGACCAAAACCACGTTGGTGGAGGAAAGAGTTTGGATTATATTTCCAGGTCATAGGCCATCATTGGGGGTGGTCCGGGCAGGAACTGCAGCAGAGGAATGCTGCTTATTGGCTTGCTCCCTCTGGGTTGCTCAGCTACCTTTCTTTTCTTTCTTTCTTTCTTTTTTTTTTTTTTTTTTTTTTCTTTCTTTCTTTCTTTCTTTCTTTCTTTCTTTCTTTCTTTCTTTCTTTCTTTCAGCTGTTTCCTTCCCGGTTTCCTAATCGACTTTACCCCCCTCTCTTCATTCCCAATAGCTCTCCCCATGTGTTTTCTTCTCCTTTTTTT